TTGAAAGTTTTTCCTCCGATGAACGCAGAAATCGCACCGTCAATGATGTCTCCGGCGAAGAATCCGTCGACGGATTTTGATGACTCGGCGGATGCGATAAACGCTGCAGTTGATGCAGAGCTCGCCGAGTTAGCGAAACGAGGAGGTGAGTCGAACGGCATCGGAAGGAACAAAGCGAAAGGACCTTGGTCTCCGGAGCAAGACGCGGCTCTGACTAGGCTTGTGTACAAGTTAGGTCCGAGAAATTGGACTCTGATCTCTCGCGGAATCCCAGGTCGGTCTGGGAAATCGTGTCGGTTGCGTTGGTGTAATCAGCTCGATCCTTGTCTCAAACGAAAACCATTCACCGGTAATCTAACCTAAAGAGTACACACTGATCTCGATTCTCAATCATCTGCTAGATTCACGATTTTGGAGGTTTTTGATTTCTCTGGATTTGTTTGATTGGGTTTTTCTGTGACTTCATTTTCGAAAACATTGATTCAGGATCTTTGTAGGTTTGTTCATATGAATTTCTCAGTAGTACGATTGAGTAATGGTGGAAATTTCTTAAAGAGTGGAGAGATATGATTAGATTTGTTACTATGATTCTGCTTTTGAGTTGAAATTACAGCTAAACTAACGATTAATTCGAAGAAAAGATGTTTAAATTGTTATTCTGATGGTTAAGGGTTATGATTTCTGTAGTGTGCTATATGGTTCTGCTTATTCATGTATGATTATTATGTATTCATTACAGATGAGGAGGATAATATGATAATGTCTGCACACGAGGTTCATGGGAACAAATGGTGTGTGATTGCAAAACTCTTACCTGGGAGAACAGATAATGCTATCAAGAACCATTGGAACTCGGCGCTTAAACGTAAACAAGCAGATCTCTGGACAAATCATCATCATCAATCTATGTCTAATACAGTAACTCCTCACATCAAGAAAGAAAAGGTCAGAAAGATTGCATCTTCCAAAGAACATTTAACTCGAAAAGAAATCTTGGATAATGAAGGAAACGAGACTCGGGAACGAAACTGTAAACCTTATGTGTATCGACCCGTGGCTAGGATTGGTGGGGTTAGTGTTTTCTATAAGCCTGGATACATGAACAACCAGATTGTTCCACGCGATGGACCTTTGGTTCAAGGATCAAGACGAGACTCGTTGCCTGGTAAATCCCTTCAGTCGCTTTGTTATGAACCAAACATTTCTTCAAAATGCGGTCACGGTTGCTGCATGAATCAAGGAAATACACTGCCATCATCGAACAACTCGGTTTTGGGACCAGAGTTTGTGGATTATGAGGAAAATTCTTCTCTTGTTTTAGACCAAGAATTGGTTTCAATTGCAAACGATCTGAACAATGTTGCTTGGATAAAGAGTGGACTTAACAAGAGCAATTTCAGAGAAGTTGAACAGATTTTGAAGGCTGATGATCAATTTCGACTTGACTATGCTCGAGCGAAATTTACCGGCATGGTGAACAATGGTAGATCAAGTCAGATTTTGAGACAAGATTTAAGGGCTTTGAGCTAAGATTAGAGGCAAAGTTTTCTCAGTTGATTCTATTTTTACCGGATTAGAGAAAGTCAAAACTTTACAAGAGTACTAAGCCGACATTTTTCCTGGGGAAATTGTTGAAGAGATGAATGCATTTTTAGTTCTGATTTTTCTTTGATTTTAGTGTATGTTGATGATTTAATTTGATCATCATCATGTTGATAAAGTGCATGAGTTTGATATGTTTCTCGGTCATTTTGATCCAAAATTTTCTTGTAATTGGGTATCTTTGTGGAGGGAATGTGATGCTCATTTTGACTTCTTGAATGGGGATATTTGGAGTTTGGAGATATGAGGAGGGTTTGGACCTTCGAAAGCCCATGAATAATAAGGGCTCGGAGTTGGTATAAATTAATTGTAACGATATAAATGTAAATGATGAGAATAGTTTACTTGTATGAAGTTAAATTTGAAATAATTTTTTCTTATTAATAGAATTATAACATAAATTTCATATTTTTTATGTATGAAAGACCGCTGGAAAAATATATAAATGATTAAAGATCCAAATTTTTAATATTCTCATTAATTTACATTTGACATAGGGCATCTAAAATCAATAGACTAGCCCTGATTTTGTAGAGTCCAGCTAAATCATCTTCTTATATTTGGTTTAATGTTTTAGATTAATTAAACAAATATTTACTAGTCCTACCTATTTATTGTTGTTACTAGAAAATTTTGGATCTCATAGTATTTTTTNNTNNNAAAATGCCTAATTCACAGTCTCTACATAATTGATATACAATTCTAAAAGGTTTGATTCGTAAACCTAAAACGCTATAAATTTGAACAGATTGCAAGAAATAGTACAAGGCCTAAATGATCTAATTCGTAAGCAGTTATAAAATAGTACAAGGATGCAAGAAGTAATTGCAAGAAAAAACAGTATAAAAAAATTTAATGTAAACTTATCTAAAAGCATTACATTAATCTAATTTATGTTTTATCCTGCATTCTCTCTTTATTCAAGGCCTAAATGATCACTCACAATATTGACAGTTATTAACTTATTAGTAGTTTTTTTTCTAATACTCCC